CAGAGAGATCTGGAGGAGAGCCCGGGCTCCCACCAGCCTCGCCTTTGGGGGTGCCAGCACCCGGCTGTACTGGGCAGACCGCGGTGAGTGTGGGCTGAGCCAGGGCGTTGCTGGGGTTAGCAGTGGTGCAGGCACTCAGTCCTCAGGGCACAGCCCAGCATGGCCCTGAGGGGCAGCCCGGAGCCCTCTGTGCCCCCCCACCTGATGTCTCTGCATCTGTGCCCTGCAGAGAGAGGCACCATCAGCAGCATCGAGCTGGATGGATCCCACTTCCAGGTGGTGCGAGAAGGGCTGCATGGCCTCTCGCTCTTTGCCATCGGAGAAGGCTTTCTGCTCTGGAGCACGACCTCAACCAACAGTGAGTCTGTTTGCTGTGCTTTCTCCAGCTCCTCCTACTGCACCAGGACAGAGGAGTCTCTGCCAGTCCCTGTGGGGTGCAGGCAGCCCCTCCCCAGGGTGAAGGGCAGGTTTGGGCACCCCACCTCCCATCCCGGGCACCCTTGCAAGAGGAGGTGCAGCAGTGCTGACTCCCATATGTCTCCAGGCTCCAGCAAGATCTGGCACAGCCGGCTGGAGCGGGCTGAGAGCTGGTGGTTCCCAATGGAGGAGGAGTTGGTAGCCATGAGGATTTACAGCCAGTTCTCACAGGAAGGTGGGTCTGGGGCTGCCCCAGCTGGGGCATCTGGGAGGTTGAGCCGTGCCTCGTGGTGGCCGAGCTAACCCGTCCTGTTTTGGCAGGCACCAACGGCTGTGCAAAGAGCAATGGGGGCTGTGCCCAGCTCTGCCTGCCCAACCCCACAGGGCGGCTGTGCCGCTGCTCTCCTGGCTACCACCTGGTGCGTGGGGTGGCCTGTGCGCTGGCACTGCCCTGCCCGGCCCCGCTCCACGCCTGCGCTGACCTCCAGAGCTGCATCTCCAGGGAGCAGGTCTGCAATGGGCATCCTGACTGCGCTGACGGCTCAGATGAGTCTGACTGTGAGTGCTCGCCCACAGCCAGGGTGTGCAGGGGTCCTGGCTGGGCACACGGGGCTTCTGCCCAGTCTCCCCCAGTTTGGGAAGGGGGAGGTCTCACCTGGGTCTCTGCTGATCTGTGCCCATCCCTCCAGGCCCCTCTGTGGAGGTGGGGACACAGGTCCCTGCTGTGGCACCATCAGGAATATCCCATGTGGAAGAACAGAAACCAGCCTTACCCACAGCTGCACCCAAGCCTCAGCAGCCCAGCCTCAGCCTGCCCACAGCCCCTGGCCCCTGGGAGCATGGAGAGCCCTTCCTGGTACCCCCCAGCACCGAGGAGGTGCTGGGGGCCGTGCCGTGCAGCAGCGAGACGTGTAACCTGCGCGGGGACTGCGCCATCGAGGCTGGGCGAGTGACGTGCCACTGTGCCCTGGGCTATCGTGGTGACTACTGCGAGGAGGCAGAGGTGCAGCCCGTTGCAGGACCTATTGCTCTGGGGGTGGCCGTGCTCCTGCTGCTCACTGCCGCTGCTGTGGGGGCCCTGGCCTACATGCGGACACGGGACAGGCGGAGGAGGTGAGCTCTGGGGCTGGGCTGGGCCAGGTACAATTGCAGATGAAAAAGGACAGGTTCTCCCTGCCCAGGGACAGCGTGATGTCCTGGGGTGCTCCTGGGCTACGTGGAAAGCTCCACTTACCCTGGCAGGCTATTACTGGGGTTTGTGGCAGGACCTTGGGAGCTGCCCCATCTCTAGGAGATGGCCGTGCCATCCTCACTGTACTTTTTTCCTCTCTAGGACCTCAAGCACTGCCTCCACCCGGGTGCTGACCTTGTACCACCGTGAAAGCGACCCTGAGGAAGAAGATGAGGAGGAGGAAGACCTTCCACCCAAGAGTGATACCTTTGTGAACGAAGCTTATGATGGGAAAGAGGTGAGCAGTGCCTGGAGCAAGCCCTGGTTGGGACCCCTCTGCCACCCTGGGGTGCCCCAAGGCCTCCCCAATATGCAGATCCCTCCCCAGGCCCAGCGCTGGCACAGTGCCCTCTCTTGAGGCAAGCTCTGCTCTCCTGCTTGCTCTTGCTGGGGGGAGAGGGGCAAGACCTGGGAGTGCCTGGAGTTTGGATGGTACAGGGGCTGCCCTGCTCCCCCTGTGGCTGGAGCCCCTGTGCCAAGGTGTGGGTTGGGCCCAGGGAGGCTGGTTCAGACTCATCCCTGATGCACCCATCTGTAATCTCTGCAGGAGCTGCCAGCCCCGCTGAGGAAGGGATCATCTCACCCCGACACTGTATTTTCATAAAGGAACGGTGCGCAGCATCTCTGGTGCCGTTGTGGTTTGTGTGTGGGCTGGGGAGGAGAGGTTGGTTTGCTCTTCCCAGATGTCTAAGCTCTAGGGAATTTACAGTTCAGAGCAAAAAGCTCTAGGAGGTTTTTCAGGAAGTCTCCAGCCCCAACATGCTCTCTGGCCCACCTGAATCTGATCTTGCCCTGCAGGATGCATCCCGTACCAGGCCTTAACCACACGTGGGCATCTTGATCCACTGTCCCTCTGCAGCAAGGCTTAGCTTGCTGACCAGGGTGCTCTGGGCTCACCTGGGGTACAAATCTGGTGGAATAGCTCTGCAAGGAAGCTGGCTCAGCTCTTGCCCTGTTATGCAGGGTGCCCAGCAGGATTTTATAGTGCAGTTCTGACCTTCCGAGTGTCCCCTACGAACTAGTGAGACCAGTTTTACCCACCTTACACCAAGCTAATGATGAAAGGGGAAATACACGCTGCTTTTTTTTTTTTCTTCTTGTGATCTCTTTTTTTTTTTCTTGTGATCTCTCTTTTTTTTTTCTCCTGAAATGGCTGTGTTCAAGGAAGGAGAAACTTCTTCCGGAGCTGATTTTGACCATGGCAGAAAAGTCCTTGAGGAAGGTGCTATAAAAGCCACCTGTCCTGTTTTACAGACCTTTCCTCCCTGCTTCAGGCAAAGCACGGAGGAGCTGGGTTAGCCATGCCTGCTGGCTCTCAGCCCAGCCTGCCTCCCAGCAAGCCCATAATAATCCCACAGCACAGACCCATTCCTCCTCTTTTATTTTGCTGTTTGCACAGCCCTGAGTTGAGCAGAGGCATGTGGGAGGTGCTCCCCTCCCCAGTTCCCAGCCCCAAAGGGCACACAGTGCTAACCTATACCTATCTGACAAGGGAACACCAGAGCTGCCTTTGCCCAAGCTGCTTGCACGGTGCAGGGGGATGACCTAAAAGATGCGTGGAGGGACTGGAGCTAGGGTGGGTCCTCAACCCAGTACGGCTTTGGCACAGTTGTGGGCCTGGAGCACAGCAGGCTTGTGAGGAGGCTGCAGAGGTTCAAGCCAGGTCCGTGGTCTTGTTTCCAGCGTGCTCTGAGGTGTGCCAAGAGAAGGGCATGGCTTGGAGGGGCATGAGCCAGCATCACTCACAGTGCCAGGCAGGCAGGGGGGCTGGTGCCCACTGCTGCCCCTGTGCTGGGGGGGCTACAAGTCAGAGTCACAAGGCAGGGTGCTCCTTGAGTGCCGTCTGTCTCGCTCATCCTCCAGCACGTCCCAGGGATTGTGGTGGGCCCCAGTGGTGGAGCACGGCCCAGACTCCAGCACAGGGCTGGGGGGCAGTTTGGAGGCCCTCTGCTCTTTGCGCCTCCTGTGCTCTTTGCAGCAGTGGTGGAAGCTGAGGGTGAGGGCCAACCCCCCCAGGATCTCCAGGCAGCTTCCTAAGTAGCTC